TATGGGTGTGTCTCCCCCCTGAATTTCCTCAACACCCTCCCAGTTTTGTGAACTATGGTGCCATACAGCCCACCTTCACCCTCACGGTGTCCCCCCTCATCGGCCCTGACACCCCTCTTGTAAATTCGAACACCCCCCCCTAATTTCAGTTCCTTGGGAGGTTACTGATGTGTCATCCAGCAGCGTCTCCCTTCCTCCTGTATGGGTGTGTCTCCCCCCTGAATTTCCTCAACACCCTCCCAGTTTTGTGAACTATGGTGCCATACAGCCCACCTTCACCCTCACGGTGTCCCCCCTCATCGGCCCTGACACCCCTCTTGTAAATTCGAACACCCCCCCCTAATTTCAGTTCCTTGGGAGGTTACTGATGTGTCATCCAGCAGCGTCTCCCTTCCTCCTGGCGTGAGCCTCGCAGTCTGGGAGGGGACTGTTGATTGCCTCGTATTTGGCTTGGCCGGGGGATACGGCAGTGAAATGTCGTCTAACGAGAGGGCTGCGGGTCTGGCTTTCCTTGCCCCGCCAGTGTGAATGGGCTCCCCAGGCATAAGCCGAGGCGCTAGGTGAGGCTATCAATTCAGCTGTGGGCAACGTGTGAGTCACATGGGCTGCGGTACCAAGCCCTCCCAGCCCTGCATAGCTTCAGTAGGAGCAGCCAGAGACACGCCAGGCTCTCCAGGTTGTGCCAGATTCCCAAGCACCGTGCCCCCAATGGGCCCAGCCCTTTGGAAAAGACGGCCCCGAGTGATTTATCGCCCTGCGTGATGAATGCCTCCATTGTGTGAGGTTTGCTGTTCCCTGGCACCCAACCCCCCCAGAGCAGGACAAAGAGGCAGCAGGCTCCATTCCTGCCTGGCAAAGGAATGTGCTTCGGACACATATTTGGCTGGGGCTGCCTTCCCCCTCACCGCCTATAAAGAGCCCATTCTAACAGGCTGGCCGGTCCTAGGGAGCGAGCTGCCGAGCTGGTCCAAATGCTGGTTCTCATCGCCCCAGCCTGGTCGTGTCTGCATGCTGCAGTGCCTAGTGCTTGCAGATTTACCCTAGCTAGCTCAGCAGGAGACCACAAGAACGGCCAGACTGGGTCAGACCAAGGTCCATCTAGCTCAGTGTCCTGTCTGCTGACAGTGGCCAATGCCAGGTGCCCCAAAGGGAGTGAACAGAAATAGGTAACCATCAAATCCCTCCCCTGTCCTCCATTCCCTGCCTCTAACAGAGTCTGGGACACCATTCCTTACCCATCCTGGCTAACAGTCATTGATGGACCTGTCCTCCATGGATTGATCTAGCTCTTTTTTGAATGCTGTTAAAGTCCTGGCCTTTACCACGTCCTCTGGCGAGGAGTTCCACAGGTTGGCTGTGCGCTGCATGAAGAAAAACGTCCTTTTGTTTGTTTTAAACCTGCTGCTTGTTCATTTCATTTGGTGACCCCCAGTTCTTAGTGAGACTGCCGCAGTATGGGTGAGGCGGGTGAGTTATTACCCCAGGGTCCTGCTCCGGCAACGCGAGCTCTGCAGCTTGGATAGGTCGCATGAGCTGCCCCTTACTGCAGTATAGACTGACGCACAGGCAGCTGGCCTCTGCGTGAAATGAGTTTGGTAGGTCGCTGCCCGATGCCTACTGAGGCAAAAATCACCAGGATTCATCGGCTCCTCTTCGCAAGCACCCTCCTTGGGGAGGCTAAGGGCTACGGAGAATAAGGGCTCAGCGCACCCCGAGAGGAGCTCCTCCAGGGTAGTGGGGCTGTGTGTTTCGGGAGCGCCCCCACCCTCTGTCGTAGGCATGGTGGAGACCCAGAGGGTCCTAGCCAGCCTCATTGGCCTGCAGACCCTTTGTGCGGGCAGAATGGAGACAGGCTGGAGGGAGGGCTGAGACGGGCCTGCACACCGGCCATTCTCTGCTCCAGCCTTCTCCATGCAGTCAGCAGCTGCAGGGAGGGGTTTGGGGCCAGACACCTTCAGCCTTCTGGGCTGTCTGCTGGGGGGTGGGAAGGGCCAGTCCCCTATTCTGTATCTGGCCAAGAGAGCTGGACCCTAGGAAATCCGACTGGCCCTGAGCCCATGAAATACACAGTCCTGCTCCCCTCCCCAACATGAACCCAGGAGTGGGCGAGGAAATGAGGCGCTCCAGGCCTAGCCCGGCCCAGCAATCTCTGGAAAGAATGCAGCAGCCTCCCACGCTGGGAGCAGGCTGCGATGCCCCTAGGGACAGGGAGAGCAAAAGGAGGAGATGCCAAGATTGATCTTCAGCACTTACCGGGCGCTCGGCTTCTTTCCAGCACCGCGGGGGTGGGGAAGTGAAACCTACACGCCCTGAAATGGGGGCCGAGGAAGGCGCGCTAGGATGCGGTTGTGTAATTAAACGGTTAACATCCCTGTGCGAGTCAGCAGGGAAGCCCCACCCGAATACTCATATCCTCCTTTCGCTTCTTGTGGATCCGCAGCCCTTCTCTGGCCCTCCCGTGCCTGTGATGGGGGAAGACTTGCCTAGGGGTTAGAGCAGGGAGGCTGGGATGCCTTCCTTCTGTTCCAGGCTCTGAGAAGGGCATGTGGTCAAATGGCCAGTGTAGAGCAGTGAGCCAGGACTCCTGGGTTCTAGTTCTGGCTATGGGCTCTTGCAGGTGTGGGCAATAATTTTTTGCAGTGGGCCACTTCTAAAATTGGCCTCAGGCTGCACTGGAAGGGGCGGGGCCTCAAATGGAAGGGGCGGGGCCAGGATGCTTCCAGGCTTCCCCACCCACAGACCAGGGTTGATCTGGGGCTGAGGGAGCCCCTTTGCCCCCCCAGGTTCCTCCTAGGCACTCATGCCCCTGGCGGTGGGAAGAGACTTCCCGTGCTCCCCCACCCCCAGGCCAATCAGTGCTCGAGGGCGGGGGAGCACACGAAGTCTCCTCATGCCCTGCCACGTTTCTAAGTGCCACGTGCTCTTCACAGGGCAGGGGCGAGGAAACTTCACACACTCCCTCCTCCCCCAGGCCCTAATCGGTCTGGGGGCAGGGAAGCAGCAGGGCCTCCGCAGGCCAGATCAATCCGCTTGGCCCTTTTGCCCACCCCTGGGCTATTAGCTAGAGCAAGTGAGGCTGGAGAGCACTAGGTCTCCTAAAGCTGCGCTGACTGCTCGGAACCCAGGCTGGGTCAGACCAAAGGTCCCTCCAGCTCAGTGTGCTGTCTTCCAAGAGGGTGCCTTCTAGCAGCTCACGGGGCTATTCAAAGGAGTCTTGCAGCCTAACCCCCCCCCCCATTTCCTTCCCAGAGCCAGGAATTGAACCCAGGCGTTTTGACTCCCAGCTCCCCTTGGTGCAATTCCACCCGCTGCTGATGGGCGATGAGTCAGCCTCATAACCTACAGCTGCATTCTCCTGGGAGCCCAGAGCCGGCACACGTCCAGCGATATTCTGCCTGGCTTGGAATCTGCTCTCTGAGCAGCACGGGCCCCTTGGGGGGAACGCCTAGGAGCTCCATGTCACCCAGAGAAGCAATGCAGGAGTCGTGCAGGGCCTGGGATAAGGGCTAAGTGAAAGTTAAATTATCCCCTTTCTGCCAGCTGCTTGTCTTGCTGCACGGTAATTTGCACTGAGCCCTGCTGATTGAGCTGTGCAGATACAGCATGGGCATGGACGGTAGGTAAAGGCCACCCTTGGGCAAGCTCCCAACCCCGCCCCCGCTTCTACCCAGGCCCTGCCCCCCAGCATCACAGGGCAGGTGGGTGCCCCAGCCTCTCTGGAGCACAGGGGGATGGGTGCTCAGGGGCAACAACCCTCCACCCCAATACGCCTACCGTTGGCGTTCTGGGGGCAAAGCCTGAGTGGGGCCAGACTGGCAGTTTGGGAAGGTAACGCCTCCCCTTGGAAATTCCCGGCTGGCCCAGAATTCCCCTTCCGCACGGCAGCCAAGTACGGAGCAGCCCTGCTGGAAAACCCTATCCTGGCCTACGTGGCGGGGCTCTGTCAAATTCAAGTAGCAGGGACAGGCCAGCACTTCCCTTGCAGTTCCAGATGCAAGGAGGGCACCGCACTCTGTGCCGCGCTCAGCCAGTGGGGCAAAGCAGCTGCCTCTTTCCCCCGTTGTGCCCTTTGCGCAGGCTTTCTGAGTCTGGGTCTGAAATCCCAGCGCTGTTTCCACATCCGTTCTGCTCTGCCTCGCGCCAGAGATTTCTCTCGTGGGCCGACGGTCAGGCGGTGCATGAGCAGGCTCGTGGCCAAACAAAGAGGCAACACATCAGCCTCCTCGTCTCCAGCTGTCGCCGAGGCAGGCTCCGATGTGGGCCAGGGAGCATGCAGGCTGGCCTTGGCGTACAGCCGGGTCTCTGGATCTGAAGCTGTATTGGTATCGGCTTGAACCGATGGGACTGGTGCACGCTGAACGTACCTGAACCCTGCAAGCGCAAATCCCACTTCACTGGTGCAAATTAGGGATGGGAATGGGGGGGCAGCCCCCCGTGACTGGGGACTGGGAGCTAGCAACCAGCCTCAGCCCCAGCATGGGGCTGGAAGCAGGAGCTCTGCAGGCTTGGGGGGGCTGGACTAGTGAGATCCTGCTAGGCAGTTAACGGGTTAAACATTAGTTTAATTTAACCAGTTAACTGATTAACAGGGATTTTACATTCCTAGAGCAAATCAGGACTCTGCGGGGTGGGGATGAGGGGGTGAGTGGGCGTCTCTGGGAACACGCCCTGTTTGTGTTAGAATATGTGAAAGGGGCATTGCATGCTCTGTGCTGAAGACTGCATATTAGGGCCACAAACACTATAAACTATCTACACTTTTTTTTGCATGCTCTTAAAATGTGCATATTTTATTTAATTCTATGCAAATATATGCAAATTAGACACACCCCTCCCCTTCCTGGCAAATTACTCAGTTGCGCAAAGCTCCGGTGCCCCCCGGCCAGTGTCTCTCCAGAACGCTCTTTGTGACAGTACTGGATGTTTGCAGTCTCCACCACGGATTTCTCTCGCCAGACCTGTGCTTCCCGTGCCCTTCTGAGTGCCGCCTCTTTCTAAAGCGACGCTGACCAGACAAGGCCAGAGCGGAGAAAAGGACTACACGCCGTTAGGAATTAAAAAACCAGAGAGAGGGATTCTTTATTCTAGGGCAAGGCAGGGCTATAATATACAAATCATAAGCTGCTCTGGGGCAGGGAACGCAAGCTCTCTCCTGCCTGTTACCTGGCGACTCGTGAGTCTGTTTGCACATCCGCGGGGCCACACTGAGGCCTTGATTCTTGCGCACAACTTTCCATTGGTGCCAATGGCCAGTTGGGAGCTCAGATCCAGGCCACCTCGTGGCCCCCTTTATATGACTTTGGGGTTAGGAGTTAGGCGGGGGGCGTCTCCAGTCACCTCTTCATTTTCTCCCCTTCTGCTTCATGTGTACCACAAAGTAGTCGTTGCACGCGATGGTCAGCCCAGCCACTAGCGAGAAGAAGCTCTGGAAGCCGACTCTGCCGTCCCGGCACTGGTCTAGGTCCTTCATGATCTTATCCACGGCCATGGGGTCTTTTTGGTTCTGGGAAGGGAGAATGCAAGAAAGAAAAGTGGGGGGAGGCTGTGACTTAATGGAGCTGAACGTGCCCCCGGCGGAAGCTGCTTCATAGCCAGTATGGGAGCCTGTCTGAGAGTCTGTCCATGGCGGTGACTCCATGTAGTTTCATCTACCTGTCCAGCCCGCCATCCCACTGGCTCCGAAGCCCGCCCTCCCTCACGGCAGTGGCTCCAGCCTCCTCCATCCTCTCCATCTAGCTGTGCATCCTTCCAGCATCTCAGTGTTTCCCTAGCTTACCTATGGGGGGGGGGCGGACTTTGTATCGCGCCCAGCATTGTGGCACCTGGACCTCTCTTTAAACGGCACATGCGGCGGAAACTTTGGGGTGTGTACAAACAAGTTTACAGCAAAACTTCAGCTGAGCTGAAACTGCAGGTTGTTTTCAATACCCCCAAAATGAAACCATGGATTAATAGCAAAAATCAAACCAACATGCTGCCCAGTCCTTCCAATAGTGTCTCTGCTGACATTCCCCATACAACCTGGCTTCTCTCTGCCTGTCCTTTAGGCTCCACTGGGAATGGGCAGCAGGGCCTCCCTTTGTGAAGCAGCTTGGAGGATCGGGGCAAGTTTCTTGGGTCACGGGCAATCGCTTTGAGTGTAGCTTCAAATTCCTTCCCCTCCCTCTTCACAGCAGTGTTCCTATCTCAGACAGGCCAGGGCAGTGCCCTGAAGCTAACTAGCCCGTTTCCTGTGCTGAACAACTGTGACTAGAAGTAAATCCCCTTCCCCCACACTGTACAGAGTGCTCCACAGGTGTGTGGATTTTAGGAGTGAGGGGGGTGTTTGCAGCGAGACACAAGTGCTGAGCAGTGACTACACACTAGCTGTTTAAATTGCTGCTCCTCTCCATACCCCGTCGCAGCTAAGGGGGACCCAGTTCTCTGAGCTCTCCTGGCTGCGTGCATGACACACTGTGGTTTCCTTGGGCTCTTTGTCCCAGGGAGGCTTGGTACTCACAGCCACCAGTTTCCATTAGGCAAGTGATCCAACAAGGAGAAAGCACTTATTGGATCCTTTAGAGCCTTTCCCACCCACGGCCGGTCCCCGTGGTACATTTCCTAATACTTTGAAATGCTCATAACCATGAGGCTTTCACTACTTCCCGTGGGAACATGAGGACTGCCAGAGCAGAGCACACCTGGGCCCATCTAGCCCAGTATTCTGTCTCCAGCCCAGTCCCAGCTGCCACAGAGAAAGAAGCAAGAGAGTCTGAGCTGATGGGACAACGTGCTCGCAGGGAAAATCCCCTTCCAAGTCCAGCACTTCGAGGCTGGCGCATGACCTGAACTGCGAGGGTTTAGGTCGCTTTCCCTGGGCCTGACTCCGTTAACATCAACCAGTGCCGCTTTGTCAGAGGATCTAGGCCAGGGGCGGGCAATAACATTTGAGCGGTGGCCACGTCAAAATGTTTGGAAGTGGTCGCGGGCCACCCCGGAAGGGGCAGGCCCTTGGAAGGAAGGGGCGGAGCCTTTAAATAGCAGGATTCGCACCTCCCCTGCAGCTTGCAGGCATCATGTTAGCCAGAGACAGGAGCTGCAAGTCCTTTCAACTCCTGCTATTTAAAGGGCTCGTTGCTCCTGGCCTCGCTGCTATTGGGTTGCCTGGGAGCTGGAGACATGGGAGCCCTTTCGACTGCTTCTATTTAAAGGGCTCATATCTTCCTTGGGGCTGTTGCCTGACAGGCGCAAGCCCTTTAAATAGAAGCAGTTGAAAGGGCTCATGAGGTCCCAGGCAATGTGCTAGGGGACGGGGCCCTAGGCGGGACAGATTTGGCCCACTGAGTGGCTTTTGCCCACCCCTGATCTAGGCAGATTCACACCAAGCGGATCAGTGCCTGATTATTTCTCCTGCCCTTTCACCCACGTTTTCTTTTGCTTAATTTCCTCTCATTAGTCTCAGTTCTATCACCCCAAATAGTCCCCTGTTGCACCCAGCACAACACCCGCGACAACTCATGAATACGTCTCTGCGGTGTGCGCTGAAGGCTCTGATCTCAGGCCAGGAGAGTGACAATGCTCAGTGTTTAAAATGCACCATAAGGAACATTTCTAGGGAAATCAACAGCACCATTTCATGCTCCTGGGGTGCTAGCAGATCTCAGAGCGCATCGCAGCCCTTCACCCAGTATCGCTGCATATCTCCTGGAGGAAGGTGAACTTTCAGAGTGGGAAACTAAATGAAAGGGCTGTTAAGTGACTTGGGCAGGGTCATACACCCAGTCAGCGGCAGAGCTGGAACTAGACCCCAGAAATCTTGATGCCCAAAACCTAACCATTATCCACACATACCTTTCCTGGAGAAGGGAAAAGAAGCCAGTAGTCCTGAGTCCTAGTCCCCACTCCTCATATTTCCAGCATTTTTATAGATCAGTTCCTGTATATTTTAACGTAAGATCGACCATACTGGGTCAGATCAAAGGTCCATCTAGCCCATATCCTGACTTCCAACAAGTGGCCAATGCCAGGTGCCCCAGAGGGAGTGAAAAGAGCAGGCAATCAGCAAGTGATCCTTCCCGTCACCAATTCCCAGCTGTTGTCTTTAGATGGAGTTGGATGGGAGTGGACTAGTTAATCTACCGCGGTTATTGCTCCAAAACAGTGTGAATGCTAACGTGTGTGTAGCACTTATAACGAATATGAAGAGAGATTAAAAAGACAGGGAATTTTCAGCTTAGAAAAGATGAGACTAAGGGGCAGGGGATATGATAGAGGTCTATAAAATAATGACTGGTGTGGAGAAAGTGAATCAGGAAAGTTATTTACTTGTTCCCATAACATAAGAACTATGAGTCACCAAACGAAATTAGTAGGTAGTAGGTTTAAAATAAACACAAGGAAGTGCTTCTTCACACAGTGCAGGCAACCTGTGGAACTCTTTGCCAAAGGATGTTGTGAAGACCTGGACTTTAACGGGGTTCAAAAAAGAAGTCGATAAATTCCTGGAGGACAGGTCCGTCAATGGCTATTGGCCAGGATGGGCAGGTATGGTGTCCCAAGCCTCCATATGTCAGAAGCTGGGAATGGGTGACGGGGAGGGATCACTTGATGGTTTCCGGTTCTGTTCGTTCTCTCTGGGGCACCTGGCCTTGGCTACTGTTGTTCTGACCCAGTCTGGCTGTTCTTATGAATACCCTACCAGGGACTTGCTGTGATGGGCTCCCAGGTAGAGGAAAGAGACATGGAAAGCTGGTGCGTGCACTACAAGTAGCGAAAAAGCAGAGAACTTGGGACAAAGCCTTTCCACGCTGGCTTCTGGGAGCTCATCTGATGAGACATTCTGCATGGCATCCTGGAGGGCATTGATTCCTGTGCTCCGGCAGTGAAATCCCATCCTGTGAAATCCCCTACAGAGGCCCAGGCCCCCAAGTCCAAGCACAAGGGTCTGGAGGATGTAAGTGGGAGGAACCTTTTTGCTTCCGGGCTTGCACAGCGAGCAGTAAATCAAGAGCCTTGTACATCCGGACCACACCCCCGCAGCGTGTTCACACCAAGCAATGGCTGGTGAGCTCGGTGCATGGCAGGCTGCCTGCAAGTAACCACAGGGCTTGCTTTACGGGCTGAGGAAATAGAACCCTGGAGCTGAGGGTCCGGATGTGTGTTATAAATGGCAGTTTCTGTGTACAAGCTGTTCTAGGCTGTTACCATGCCAGCAGTAGGGAGCCTAGCACTGAATTAACTGAGGGGACTGAGGACACGTTCTGATCTCCCGACTATCAGTGTCCACAGTCTCATTCCAGAGTGACACCAAGGTAGCTGAGATCAGAATCCATCTCCCTACAGCAACCGCAGGCCTGTCCCTGCAGACATTGGTTCTAAGGCGCTGGGATCAGACCCTGGCCCCAAGCCTCCATGGAGCCTCAGAAAACCCAGCCTGGATCAGTTACAGGTGATGGACCAGATCCAGCCTGGGGGTTAGCAGGAGCAATGCTGACGCCACGGCAGAGCTCAGCCAGCTGCAAGGGAGGTCCTGCCCTGGAAGTGACTGGATCCCTGGGGGTACTGGGAGCTCTGGTTTACTGCTGGCACTCTCGATGTGCACCCTCGCAGTGGAATGGATGCCCTGGGGCCGGAGCCTGATATCCCTGGCTGTAGTTTGATCAGCCTGTGCCACCCGGGCCAGCTTCCTTACTCACTGGAAGCACCAGAGACACAGGCTGGGGGAGGGGGGGCGCTTTCCTGCTCCAAAGCGGGGGCTGGTCTGGTCCCCAGCAGTAACTGGCACCAGGCAAGAACAGGGCCAAGCCACCTTGAGAGTCGGGTGCTATTTGCTCTGCTACTCCAGCCTTGATCTGCACCCCCCCAGGTCTACCAATACCCCGCAGCCCCCTGCTAGCCCAGCCCTGGGCTCCCCCTCCACCCACCTCTGCCAATGCCCCTCTACTCTGACCCAGAGACCCGCCCACCCGCTGATGCACCACAATCCTGTCCAGATCTTTCTGGATTGGCTTCCCTTGAGGAAAGATGTGTCTGCAGGGACAGTGGCAGTGCCCAGTCCCCTCTTAAATTTGTCATGAGTTAACCAGAAATGTATATCTGTGCCTCCCCCGGCTATGCCCTTTCCGTGCCCCATTGCTACCTGGGATCCTCTTGTGGACACGATGCAGGTACTTAATGTATTTCCCATGCCGCAATGACTCCTGAGGGTTATGCCTAGCCCTGGGAGGAATGTTGCTCATGCCAACCAGCAGGCTTGGGAGCCAGGACCTCTGGGCTGGCTTTCCAATTCTGCCACTGACTAACCATATGGCCCTGGGCAAGTCACTTAATTGCTCCATGTTAATCTTGCTGGTTTACATTTGAGAGGCGACTCCCAAGTGCTGCTCAGACATTGCATCTTCCCTCAATTACAGGACTGCAGATGGGTCCTCGGGAGATATGGCTGATGGAGATTTTTTGGGGGACAGGAAGGAACTTTGCCCATCTCCCAGTCTCACGTGTCTGCCCTGCAGGCCTGTCCTTGCTTTGCATCAAACCATAACAGCCAAGGAGCTGTGAAAACACAGTGCACCAGGCAGCAGGGTTATTCATAGCCCAGCCTGGCAGGCTGTTCCCAAAATGCTGTCTATTGTCTCTGACAATGCATCATTTCTCACGGAGGGAACACACTGCCCAGAGCCTCGCCCCATTGTCTGTGTCAGCCATGAGCTAATTAAAGGCAGGGAAGCGAGGGTGCCTCCTCTGCTGTGGGCGGTTTGAGTCCCAGCGATGGGAACCCCAACTCGCCATCACACCCATAAATCCTAAGGATGGCCCTGGCCTGGCCGCCGGCTCATGCCAACAGCCAGTCACCTGGGCTGAGGTTTTCCAAGCCCTTCACTTGGCTTTGCCACATGGCTTGCTTTGACATGAACAAGTGGCAAGATGAAGGGCTAAATCCCACAGCAGGCTTTGACCGAGCAAGCTACAGAATTTTCAGCAGGGGAAATCATCCTAGCCTTATTTTGCCTACGCTGACATTGCAGGATCCCCGAGAGGCCAGCTGGCTTGAGCCTTCATTTGGAGGGCAGAATAATTTCGCCATCTGAAGTTTGAAGAGTTCAGTTAGAAAAACTATAATCCCTCAACCTGGGATCTGACTGGGACTGTGTCTGTCCACATCTTCGGCTCTTTCAGTTTTTACCCTTGTCTGTCTTGTTCCATCTAGCCCTTTGGTCCTGTCTTCCCTGCTCTCTCCGATTTCTCTAATATGGTCCCTAAGCGGCTGACTTGTAAAAACCTGTCATGCTCAAGTGGAAAACGGCTGGGCTCTTGATGTTGCATCTCACACTGCACAGCCCCACATGCAGCATCGCTGCTCCGTCCTGGCCTAGAGGGATAAACATCCAATCCCACCCCAGCCCTGGATCACCAGAGACTAGGACTAGCCAAATCCCTCAATGGGCCGTGCCAGGAGGGAGGAATTCCCTCAGCAAGCGGGAGCCTTGGCATTTCTCACTCACATCCAAAAACCCAGGGAACTCCTTGTCCATCAGCAGCCGGAGATCCTCTTTCGTCAGGTAGTTCTTGTCGCCGGCGTACTTGTGGAACGTGAACATTAGCGTCTCCATGGCATGCTCCATCTGAGACGGCATCTTGGCGTGGGTGTCTTGAGCCTGCCCAAGCGGGGAGAAATAGCACAGAGCACGGTTAGCTTTGTCCTGTCCCACAGCTGAACTTAGTTTTACCCCCAGGAGCAAGACACACACCTGTGCTAAGCACAGGGCTTTCTGCTGTGCATTCGTCGATTTCAAGGCCAGAAGGGTCCCTATTAGACCCGCCGGCAAACTGCAGAGCAAGGAGCTTTATCCTGTTACCCCTGAAAAGTCTCGGGGAGGGGGCAGGGAGCCGTGTTTAGTCTGCATCTGCAAAAACAACAAGGAGTCCAGCGGCACCTTAGAGACGAAGAGCTTGATTAGGGCATCAGCTTTTGCGGGTGAAACCCACTTCATCAGATGAGCTGGAGTGGCGTGTACAGCAGGGATGATAGAGTTTAACTGAAGACCCAGTTCCCTGATAAGCTGGGGCTTATCGCTTCAACTCTACTCCGCTCCTGGGAGGCAGCTTTGCTACGTCAGCGAAACCACCTTCCTGGGAGACGGGCCAGTAGCTCCTGGGGAGGCTCCACTGCGGGCTACTGCAGCATGAACCTTATTTAAGGTTTATACTGCAGAGCCCGCAGCGGGTGTAACTGCTGAGATGTTTAGTGTTTACTGGGTTGCTTTATTAAACAACTTTGAACATCCCTAGTTTACTGAGACACAGGCTCCCTTTCATTTGTTGTCCTTATATATACCCCTCCCTCTGCGAACTCCACTCTAATTGATCTGATGAAGTGGGATTTACCCATGAAAACTTATGCCCTAATAAATCTGTTAGTCTCTAAAGTGCCATCTGACTCCTCCTTGTTCCTGTTACCCTTGTATTGAGCCCAATAATACATTTGGCTAATGCATGTTCTAGAACAGCCTCCAAGCTGGATCTGAAGGCATGGAGAATCCACCGCTTCCCTCAGTACTTTGCTCCCTCATTTCTTCATCATTTCGAACTTTAATGCTAATGCATCTGCCAAACCTGCTAGCTAGTTAGGTTCCTACCCCTGCTGCCACCATGGGGGGGGGAGAGGGGGAATCTAAGCTCTCAGACCCAAATGGAAACTTTAAAACCTTGTCTCCACTGTTGTTGCGTAGCTACAGCCGCATCACTTTTCGGGGAGGACGGAGAACGGCTGGGAGATGGACAGACAGACGCTAGTGAAGCAGAGAGAGTTGGGATAAAGGTCAGATCAAACCTCTGGACTCCATTCCCAATCGAGTCCATTTTAGCTCTGCTCGGCCCAGGCATGACAATGGCTGGCTTGTGCCACTAGTGCGAAGGATTTCATTGCACAATGAAACCTTTCCTGCTTCAGCAGTTAAACCCCGATCAAACGGCTACAATACGCGTTCCCCGAGCCAGGACATTCCTGAACATCTACAGGAGAATACAATGTACCAGGGTAAATGGAGTCTCCTAACTCACAATGAGGTTTAAGGGACATAAACATGCTTTGGATGACAGCAGCATGGACAAGCAAGAGGATTTGGAAAACGAAGGACAATCTCTGTGTTGTCTCTTCCATGTGCCAGCACTAGGGAAACGACCATCTCTTGGTTATTTCTGCCCAGGGCGCCTGAGGCGTTGATGTTTTAGAGGTGGTTCAAGTATTTTCATGGGAAACTCTGGATTAAAGCCCTGGCGAGAAATGGGTTAGAAACAGACTTGTTATGTACTGTGGAGAGATGTGTAGCTTTCAGAGCCACAAGGGAACTTTATCATCATCTAATCTGACCAAGCATGGGACCAGGACATGGAATGTTACCCCTTGTGACATAGTGGGGGGCTGTCTGCTCTGTAACCCGGGGTTCCCCTGCGCCTGCGCTGTGATGTGTGATTTCCACTGACTCACCCACATGTGTATTAGCCCAGACACCTAGTCCAGCCTGGGCAGTTAGCAAAGCTCTTCCCAGGGGGAGAGACAAAGGGAGGCGGAGACAACCACTTGGCTGGGGACAGGGTCTGGGAGTGAGGCAGTTGCTGGCTGGTAAACATGAAGGGAACAGACTAAGCTGAGTGGGCAATGAACCCCCTAACCCAAGGGGTCTGAGGCATCCTGGCCCTGACTCCTGTAACCTCATCGCGTCTGTGCTGTATCCTGGAGAAGAGATAAACCTCCTCTATTCTACTGGCTGTCGGAGTCTGTTCTTGCTACTACGGGGATGCAAGATCGGGGAGGGGGGTCCCCGAAATGCCGTCACACCCCTTTATTCCTGCATCCAGGACAATAACGTGTTCAAAATATAACCCCCCGTGAAACCCACCTGAGACGAGCTTACTATAAAAGCAAGACACGGCTGGCCGCTGATTTGCTTGTCTTGTGCCTTTTCTAGCAAGATCCCTAGGAACTCAACAATCTTGGCAAACTACTTAACAAATCATGAGTCAAAAATTGCTCCTTGCACGTATGCTAAGGCAGCGTTCCAGTCTGTATATTAAAGGATCACTCCTTCCACCATTAAAATGCAATCCCCTCTGGGGTGGGACATGGCAGCTGTTTATCAGCTCCTGGTAATGTGAAGAAGCAAGATATTAGCGAATGTTCCCCCAGCAATCAATCCCCCCTGAGAGGGGCTGGAGAGGGTGAGAAAAGAGGACTTCCCTCCCCCCCATCTCGAGCATCTATGATTCTGTGATTCACAGCAGTTTGGGACAGGAAGTGAAGAGGATTCCTGTCTCCTGGTGCAATTTTCTGAGTGGGTGCATAGCAAAGGGGCATGGACAAGCTAAGGAGAAACCTGACAGCTCTTAAAATATCCATGTGCCATGCTTAGCAGCATCTGTGTTCTGGGACAGCTCAGCCCTGCCAGGAGCACGCCCTGCGGTGTGTCCCCCAACTGGCTACCCGGTGTGCTGCACAGTCACACAGAGTGTTTCCTGTAAGTTGCACTTGAGCAGCCACCCAGAAGATTCAGGTGCTGCCCTGTTGATTATCAGAGCGCCCACTGCCAGCAGCATGTGTTTCTACTGATGGTGCACATCCACACATGCCTCAGCGCACAGAACAAAATTAATTCCACACAAGGAGGGAAAAAATGAGAGGGAACACTGCTCACAGGGAGCAGCAAATGACCAGAGAGGGAACACGCCTTTCCGGGACAGAATCAATGGGAAGACTGGACCAGAGTCAGCCAGAAAAGTGAGGCTGGTTGTTAAACTCTGTGGCTTTTTTTTTTTTTTTTTTTTTTGTAAATGAATGGTCAAAGCAAACTCTTTCAATGGCAGATTCCTTTCTCGGCGTCTGCCCCCGTGAACGGGAGACTTTGATCCCTTGCCCAATCCAAGGGCCTGGTGCATTGCGGGGTGGTGAAGAGAGAAGTGAGAACTGGGGCGGGTAGCAAATGCTGCAACCCGCTAAATAGGACTTCCGGAGGGGGAAAGGGGGGATCTCTTCAGAAATGGCCCCCCTCAAGTTATCTTTGCTGTGGGCAAAAGCAGCTGGGATCCCTTTGTGTGCCTGGAAGTGTTTTACGAGCATATAGCCCGTTGGAGCGATTGTCTGGATGATGTACGCAGCAACAGGCCGGGGCTGGGAAGCACTTTTCTTAACAAAGAATAGATCTGAGAGACGACAGACACGGGGAAGCAGCTGGCTAAAGTAAATACAAATGGGACATGGAGCCTGGCTGCTCATCTGGTGCAAACAGACTGGCAAGAAAAGCTCACTGCTGGCTCTCACATGCAACGAATTTGCTCCCCCCCCCGCCCCCCTTGATTAGCAGCAAACATTCCCGGCACTGATAGCATCCTTCCGATTTGCCCTCTTGTCCCAGTGGAGAAGCTGTCGGCGTAACTCCCTCCCACGCCCACCTCCAGGGAGGGTCCCCTGAGCACATGGGCAGGGCGTGTGGGTGGCTGGGGTAACGAAGAAGCCAACTCTTAAAACCTCAGGACAGGCAGATCCAGGGAAAGCTCACCAGCAGGAAGGCGCTACTGGCAGTGGAAAGGTTAAAATGTTCGCACAAGGGAAGAGAAGTCAGCGGATTGCGGCAGGCTGGGCTGGGCGGCAGCTTCCTCCTCTAGAGAGCGGAGGGACTTTGGCCAAGAACTCCTCCCGCAGAGCGAAATCATCGCCCAGATGGGCTGCCCTGTCTTGCAGATGCTCAGCAGGCTTCAGCGTGGATCAAAGGGCGTGTGCATTCCTCACCCCTCCCTGAGCTCCAGAGGGGCGCACGGCAGGCAGGCAACTGGAGAGGATAGGCTCTGCATTCGGGGCCCCAGCCAGCCAGGGGAGTGAACTGCTACTGCCCTCCAGCAGGGACCCTGAGGCAGGGACCCCTCTGATGCTTCTCACATCAGCCAGCAAACGTAAAGCAGGAGCGATTCCGATCTGCTTGTGTGGAGCAGCTCCCCCGCATGCACATGCCCACCCTGTGCCATGCACTGATCTGGACCCCGGACCAATCTCTCATCCTTGAGCACTGAGACACGCCAGGCCCCCAGCCTGCTCCCATCTGGGCATGAACCAGGTCCCGCCGCAGGGCCGTGCTCAGTGTTTTCTCTGGAAGACTTGGAAGCGTGAGGGATGGCGGCTCCAAACGAGGCCCAAATGCTCGGCGGTGGGGGATGCATTCCTGGCCTCGGGGAGGTGCCAGCAGGAGAAATGTCTGAGGAGGGAGCCAGCAGCCAGGGCGTGGATTGAGGGCCTGATGCAGCTCCATCTCCGATGAGGGCCCCAGGCCACATTGTTTCCGCAGGTCTGTCCCCCATGGACGTGATGGACTAGACGCTGGGGTGGGAAGTGATGCGCCCGTAGCAAGGGGCAAAGCTCCTAAACTCCAGAGGTGTAACCGCCGGGAGGGAAGCCGCCAAGCCAGGGCTCCGTGGGAGGCCTGGGACGCAAAGCACTTGCTTGTCCCAGCCAGGGCAGGGAAGGCTCCTTACGGAAATGCAAAGAACTGTCCAGGTGGCCCTGTCTGGGCTCCGGTTAGGAGGCCGCACCCCAGAGGTGGGAGTTGGCTGGGGAGAGGGTTTGTTTGTGGACGGGGCGGGAGGGGAAAAGCAATCAGAGATGAATAAA